GTTCCTCTGGGTTTTGTAGTCTCAGTAGATTTTCAGTTTCAGGTCCTTGCACTAGTTGCTCTTGTTTCTGGCTCGGACTTAGCCTGCATGGGTAAACTGACATCTGAGTGTTAGCAAGGCATTTTTTTCAAATTATTCGGGAACCTTGATTATGTCCCTGCATTGGGAAGTAGCAGCTTATCTGCCTAAGCATGCAAGGGCTGTATCCTTGCCATCAAGCTTCTGCTGGAACATTTTTGCAAACAGGATTGCACAGTGTTAAAGACCTTGGTGTTAACCTCAAAATAAGCTGCTGTTAATACTCACTAATATGAAACTGGCAGGAGTGAACGGAGTTGACTGGCTGTTTTTTTTCCTCCCAGACTTCAGTGGTCCAATTCCTGAGTGTACTCTTACATGTTATCTGCATCAGCCTCAAACATGGAGGTCAGTTTATGATTATGAAAAACCTTTTTTTAATGGAGCCTTCCAAAGCAAGTATTGGCAGAAACATTTATCTGTGGCTGGCCACTTTTGAAAACTGAACATCATGTGAAAAAGTTTTCCTGCATGGTTGTGTGGCTTTTAACTGCACCCCTAGTATCTCACTTAACTGACTCATTGCTTTTATGTTTTGTTCACTTTTCCTGTGTAATGCATGACCTCAATTTCATACCTAACTAGGTATAGAAATCAGTATTTTATTCCCTCAGATCCTATATCATTGTTTCCTTAAATTATAAGTCATGTTACACTTTAAGCTATGTTGATTTTTAGTATTGGCTTGGCTTCAAACTAAGTCAGCAAATACTTTGCTATTAAACCGTGTATTTTGTTTAGTTATTTTTAAAAGGAACATATAATTGCTGGTTTGGTAAGATTCTTACCACATTAAGTTTGACTTTTATCAGTCCTGTTATTTTTGTGAAAGGCTTTGCTATATTAAATGTTAGGCACTGTCCCTGGGGAGCAAAGCTAACAGTTACTCAATCTGCCTTCACAGATTTACCATTTTCCATATTGATTTCCACTGTCTTGGATAATGGCAGAGCCACTTCAGGTAGCAGTGGCTGAAGGAGTAACACCGCCTGTTGAAGTAACTGTTCCTGGTGATTTTGTTGTGTGATATTTTAATATTTTTTTTCTTTTTCCTGTGGGCTTTTTGATGGATCAAGGGTTTTAGAGAGCTTTCTAGAACTTTTTTTTTGCTGTCCCAAGAAGATCTATGCCTGTTAGCACATCTCTGATGCTGAGAAGAAAATCACTGCACTCTCTTGAAAAAAATGTTACTGTTTGCTGGCAAGTGAAAAGGGAAAAATGTGATAATGGCTAAAATTCTAGCAATGACTTCTGATACCTTGATATGTTTGTCCTCAACCCCTGAGCCAAAGCGATTGTTTCTCTTCCTGGTTAACTCCTGGGGGTGGAGGGCTTCAGGGTGGCATTCTGTGATCCTTCTGTCTAGCCCTTGTTGGGAAGGATGCGCTTTTCAGTAGCTGATACCAGTTTTGATACTGTCTTTACTACTATGGAGAACGAGGCATAGAAGAATTCAGGCTGAGCCTCAGTTAGTCATTAGGTAGTGATGAATTTTCTTTGTTATTTTCAGTTATGGCTGCTACTTTAACTTGAAATTCAAGAGACAAGCTGGGTTTTAATGTGGAAAATCAGAAGTTCATCTGTGAGCCAGATGCTTTGCTATGGAGGGAGTAGATAGAACATCAGCGTTGGGTAAAAAATAGTTTAAGAATCTCTTCTGTACTCGTTTGAGTGGTGCATCTTCTAAAGTCATTGTATAAGCCTACAGGCCACTCTGATGTTAAAACAATTTATGAATAATCAAATAAAACTATGGATAGGTGCAACAGAGGGCTTTCCTTCTCCCTGGCCCTCTACAAAATGCTGTGCTAAGGGTCAGATTAGGCATAGTGAAGAATATTTCTGTTGCTTTAACTCTCTGGGGTTGCTGTTGTATTTGATTAGTCTTCATGGACTGTTTCTGCTGATGTTCTCTAATTTCAGCTGAAAAATCCAAAGTCTTCTGTTCAAATGTCTGATCCTGTGCTCTCTGACCTTGAATGATTCATGATTTTTTTCTGCATTTATAAAATGTCATTGCTGTGGTTATGATACATAGCCTGAACACCTCTGGGTTCTGTGATGCCAGTTTATCTGCCTTTACTATGAACTGTTACTGTTTAGAAAACAAGACTTTAACAGTTCTTGAACAGCAGATGCTTATTCTTTAATGGCACCTTGGCTTTCTTCAGAGGTGGTACAGATCTTAAAAGGACCAAAGCAATTTGCTTACCACTTCTCACAATCTTTATCCAGAATGTAGTGACTACTTATTAGTAGTTGTTTGTGCTAAGCCCAAACTAGGGATTATAGTAGTGTTCAGGTATGGTGAACATTCCTCCCAAAATTTACCTGATGCTGAGTTTCTACAGATGAATTTGAACAAGTCCTTCCTGGGCATCTACTGTTAAGCTTTTGCCAGCATTTCTCCCAGTCCTCCCAGGACAGCGTCTTCTGCAGTTCATAGCTGATGGGTTATTGTTCCTCTATTTTGCTTGGCCTCAAATTAAAAAAAAAAAAGCTGTTACTATTTTGGAAATAAAACTTTGGTTTGCAAAACACTTTTTATTATTTTACTTTTCCTAAACAAATCCAAACCTTTGCAGTATTGGTATGTTTAAGTCAGTGGAAAAAATTATTTAAAATTTGGAATGAAAGCTTTAAGCAGTCAGATTCCCTGGTTATAACACCGTTCAGCTCCCTAACAAAGTGTTCCATTTGGAACTAATCAGAGCTTTGTGATTTTTTCTAGGCCAATTTGAAACTGCTTTGCTTTGATGTGCGCCTGAATCAGATAGTATATGAGCTCAGTCAGTCAAGACATATGGGCTAAATTAATCTTTACCAAGTATGTAAAAAATTAAATCTTTATGGAAAGAATTGGAGGTTATGTATAAACAAAATGCAAATTTTAAACTGCATGCGATGCTTATTGTAAGGATAGTGGAGAGAAGGCAATACAAGATAGGAGGCAATATATTGTAACAAACTGCTTGTTCAGAGATTTTTCTGAAAGCATGTGGCTATGTCCTCACTCAGTTTCAGGTACTGTAAGTGTTTATATTTACTGGTGGTTCTGAATATTTGGAAAGTGGTTGTTTAGGATAACATAGTCTTGCCTGAATCTCATCTTCTAGCTTGCTCTTCTGAAGTCTCCCCTTGCCAGAAGGCTGGTGGTGCCTTTGCTCAGCCCGTTGGAACTTCCCCTCAGCAGCAATCCACAGGAGTGAGTTTAATGAGCTCCAGGAGAGAGACGGTGTGAGATAAGCTTTGGTAAAGACTGACTTTGGCAAGGAGACTTAAACTATTCCCCACCCTTCCTCTGAGCTTAAAGTTTAATGGCTAGACTTTCTAATGTGAAAGCTTGATACTATATTTTTGTTACTGATGAAAAACTGTGCCGAAGAAGCGTACAAGTAAACTTTATTTTTTGATCAGAAGGTAGACCAACAGTGCTGAAAAGGAAAGCACATAGTTGTAATCCTGCTTTCTTCTGATGCTCATCTGTCTTTCTGGATTGGTTTCTTTGCACACACAAGCTTTTTTTATGGATGTCAAGTATACCAAACCTTTGACTTGTGCTACTACCTTAAACTGCATATAAATCTATAATCGACAATCTGAAAATGGAGCTTACAATAGGTAGTTGTATAGAGCAGGGATGTGCTATTTTTGACTTGCATTGTGTATTCCAATCGATGTCAATATGTAAGGCTAATGGTAGGGTGAACAAAGTATTGCTTTAAGCGTTAAGTATCCTAACTCATGGCACTGTCTCAAGTCAACGGGGTCTGAGTGAGCTTTTTCCTTACAGGGACCTGTAGTCGCTGGTATTAGTTACCATGAATAAAGGGTAGCTTCTTTTGTTATGTCAAGATGCACATTTTCTCCTATGATTTGTGAAATGCTAAAATCCCTGTTAAATTCTAATTACAACTCTCCATATCAGGATTTCATGTTGATTCAAAATGTGGCAACTGACCATTCAACTAATGTGTTAGTTAGTATGAATACTTTTGTTACTCTTATTTACCTCTTTAAAGCACACTTTCCTCTTTCAGATACTTAAACTTTTGTGTTCAGTACCGCTAATGTAAGTGTTCATCCACTTCTGCTTCTCATTATCTAGAAAACAAGAGAGTAATTGCCTTATGAGGCAGGCGTTGAATGTTACACTACAAGTAATAGAAGTCTTTATGTGTTGCTGCAAAATTGTGAATGCTCTTGTGGACAGCAGCTGAAGTGGGCAGTGTTCAGTTCTGCTTCTTCTAATGAGTTATGTTTGTTTCTGTAGCTTGAAGTAGTGGTGAAAATATGTTTCCTTATGCTAAATGCAGTTTAGAAGGTATTTATTGGGCCATGAAGTCTGTTTTGATGATGTGGCCTTCTGCTTGGGCATTTTTAGTGTGTGATTTTTTTTCATTGAAATATGGTCACGATAGCAGGCTTTTAAATGGCAAAGACAAGAAAATTAGTTTTTTGCTAAATTGGAATTCAGTGCTTGTAATCTGTGTGGAAATACTTTGAAATGGCTTGAGTCTGCATCTGTGTAGGTAGGTGACATAACATAAAAATGGTGTTTTCCAAGAGCCCTTTTCCCCTAGTTCTTGTTGAAAAGTTAAGAACTGCAGTGTGGAGAGGTTAAGGGTCTTGCAATATCTCTACAATTGACTGCTGTGTGACTACTGTTTAAAAAAGAATTATACTTTAAGTAGCTTTATAGATTAGCCAAGATAATCTAGATTTGTGAATAGCTGCTGACTGAAACAACTTCCCTGAACTGTTACTTGTGGAATATCAGTAGTAACACCCCTTGATTTTAAAAGAAGCAAACGTCTCCTAGCTGCCTTCGAAGTGGTTCTGCTCACTCTGGAGGAAGGTGTGATGTTTGCGCATTCCCTCAGTTTATTTTATTGGATTTTTGTGGTTTTTTTTCTTCCCAGGTCACTCCAAGGTCTGAGACCCCCATCAACAGTGTCAGTAACAGTTTGGAAAATGTGCTACATACATCAACACATTCCATTGAGGAGTCATTACCCAAGAGGCCTTCTGGGAAGCACTCCAAAGGTGTGTCCTTTTCCGCATGCGTACTTCCAAGGGGGGGGAAGGAACTTGCATCTCTTGATGGCGATTAGGGTTATTTTAATTGCGACTGGAGACTGGAATTTTGCTTCTTTACTCCTGGGTTGGGTTGAGCAAAGGAAGTCATGGAAGGGCTTTTGTGGGAAGTGTTAGTGAGACATTACTGTTCTTTCGGGCCAACTTTGGACCGACTCTGACATGTATCAGTGAAAAATGGACAGCGAGAGACAAGTATGCTTATTCTTCTGTTGGGAAATAAGCAAGAAAGTTCCTTAGGAGTTGAAATACCAGCTTAGTTCTCATGAAATACTATTTTCTCAAACAGCGAATATCTCTGACACTCCACCTCTCATCCTTATAGTAGCAGGTTATTTCTTGGATGAAGCATATGGTGATGAGTGTTGCTTTACTGGGGAGAAGAAAAGGTATTTACAACAGCAGTTAGGCTTCTGGTTCCACCTCTCTCTTGGTTCCTAAGAAAGTGTCAGTGAGAAGCTGAGGGAAGAGGCATGGAGGATAGGAAAGAGAGCTTGCACCTTTCTTAGCACACGTGTGCATCCTGAATGTTGTTACAAAATAAGTCTGATTTCTGTAATGCTGTATTGCATGCTGACCTGGCTAAGAACTGGGCTTAGCAAATTTGAGTGAATAAGTATGCATTCCACTTCCACGCTCCAGGGTATGATTACAGATATTAAAATGTCTAGGTTAAAATGTGACTAACAATATTTTTGTTTAATACATACAAAAAGCACTGTTAAGTGAGCAAAGTCTTTGAACTGTGAGCTGCTATTTGTATAGAACAGCTTTTGTGAACTTTCTGGTATTAATAAAAATAGCTCTGTATGGCAGAACTAATGCAGGGGAAATATACCATCACATTAGCAGCACTAGTATACTGCTTTCAGATGTCATTAAAAATGTTTTCTGGGACCATATAAATTTTTTTTTAATTTGGAATTGGTCTTCAGCGTTCTGTTCCCTTCTCCGCCACTGGCTTGCTGCATAACCTTGCAAATACAGTTTCATACCACATAAATGGTGATCAGGAATTGCAAAGCATGTCTTTACTCAGAGGAACTGATACAGATTGGAAAGGGTTAAATATCCCAAGGAAATGTTCTTAGCTTGCCTCCACCAGACTTCCTTTTCTGTGACACACTCCAGTATAATCCCAGTAGCTGTAAGTAGCAATAATTTTTTACAGCAGAATAGTGCTGTAAGTAGCTGTTTCTCCAGCTGTAAAAGCTATCAGGGTAGAAGAAAATGCAACACTAAGCAGAAGCATGGCTAGGTTTGTGGCTTTCATCTGATTAAAAATAGGACAGGGTTCAACACTATTTTCATTTGTACTCAGTGATTGCTATTCCAGTACCATATATGCCAAGATTAGTCATGGTACACTGTGAAAATTAATTAGGTTTTCCTCTGATGCGTTTTTCTCTTCTAGAATACCTCCTTATTTTTCAGAGAATGTAGCTTTTTCATTTACAGATTGCCTTAGTGATGGTTGGTAAAAGGAGTTGTGGAACAAAGAGTTTTCTTACTAACTGATACTCTGCTTTCTGGTTCACTAGCAGCAAAGCTTGTGTTGAGTTCTCCTTGATACAGGATGATCTGTCTGGTAGGAAATTCTGCCTCAGACAGCTGGAGTACAGCTGAAGATTATTTGCCAGCCTGGAGCCACCATTGCTTGCTTACAGATTTCTAGTTGTCGTAGCAGACAGACATGTCTCTTAATTTTGCAGGACCCGCTAACTTTTTAACCTAGAGCCCATAAAATTCAGTCATGAGAGTATGGGATGGACAGGTTGCTTGACCAGTTGTGTAATTCCTGTGTTGCTATCTTCTAGTGAGTCTTGTTTCAGATAGCTTGAGAGGACAGGATTTCTTCTCACTTGTGGTCAGGAATAGGGAGCTGCCTGTTTGTCATTCCTCTGCTGCAAAGTACTGGAGCTGGAAGTGTCTCAGTTAAAAAGCTGTAGCTGAAACAGAAGAAAAATGAGAAAGCTCACGTAAGGTGCAGTATCGATTGTGCTTAGTTGGATTAGAGACAGTTTGTATTAATCCTGTGAATGGTTTTAGTCCTGATTTGTAGAAATGTCAGTAATATAACATGCTCTGTATATAGTTGAACAGTGACTGGGTTTGTAGTGGGCTTGGACCTGGAAGGTATCAGTGGCTGTATTTTCTCTAATCCACACTTTGAAACTAGCTTTTAGCATAAAATATTTCAAGTTTCTACACGGGAGAGACACGAGAAGAGCAGAGTATATTGCTGAATACTCTTTAACAAAGTGTGGTGGAAGTTTATATGCACTTATGTTTGCATTAAGTGGTTAGCTGGAAACATGCATACATGCTTCATGTAGAGACGTGTCAAATACATCTGAATAATTTCACCATCCTGTGTGCACAGAATATTGCTGCCTTGGGAAATGAATTTATAAAATGAGTGTCAGTCTGAGAAGTCGATAAACCTTTCCTTTTATCTGAGGCCCAGCTAACTGTGGGAACACTCTGAGGTGCTGGAGTACTGGATCCCTGCTGCAATGCCCAAGTTGTTGGGAGTGGTGACCAGCGGGGGGGCAATCATATGGGTATTTAGCAAAACTCACCAATTTTTCTATGCTGTTCCTTCAGACTTAGCTAAAGCCCCTTCTCCCTTCTGCGTGCATCAGTGCTAAAGCAGGATAAACCAGATGGACATTTCTGCAAAGTAGAGTTGTGACACTAGGAAGATTCTGTACCTGTTGACATAAGCATTTCAGGTATCTGTGCTTTATGTGGCCTTTGAGTTTGTAAAATAAAGTTCAAAGATTTGGCCTATGCAAGTTTAGAAAAAATACGATTAGTGTTGACATAGAAGGATGTGGACCTCTTCTGAAGTCTACTAGCTGTAACACGCAGTATAAATTGTGCTTTTTACGCATATTTTTTTGATCGGTGATTTAGGATTGTTCAAACCTGTTTTCACAGATGTGGAAGTTATTTTAACTGGAAGTAACTTTGGGAAATGGTGATTTTTCCCTGTTTTCAGGGACTGGCTATTGTGCTTGTAAGGTGCAGACAGGCTTATTGACAGGTCTCGCTGCTCAAGGAGAACAGGCGAATACGGATAGATTCTTGTGTTATATGTAACTGAAATTCCAAGGGGGATGTGTTGCTAGATCTTTCTGTCTTTTTCCACTGTTTCTAGGACATAGTGAGGTTTTAACTATGGTTTCAATACTGATCAGAACAAAATTAAATTTAAATAAGGTTAGGCATTTCTTGCATACGGGATGAGCTGAGTGCCACACTGTTTTCCTTTGTGTTGCCCTAGGCTTTCTTCTGCAATACCACAAGAATTGAACCACTGCAAATACAGCTGCAGAAGGTACCAGTGTCAGAAATGTTGCTTCCAGTTTCAAAGATGAGATTTCATGCTTGCAAATGCTTGCCTGATAGGCACGTACTTTAGCAACAGCACAGCTGTGTAGTGATGGTCCCTTCTATAGAGGGGTTTGTGTTTCTCAGCACAATGCCAGCAAAGTGGGCAAACTTACTTGGAGGGATTCTGATAAAGGCACCGAGGCTGGTTCTCTTAAATTCAGGGTTTTACGTTATGTTTTCTGGGGAGCTACCCTAGAACCTTTTCCCAGTAGCAAGTGCCCCAGGTGGTTAAAGAAGGTCACTGGTTAAAAATAGTATATTCACTAGTAACTTTTGTTTTGCAGGCAATCCTGTGCTGGTAGCTAAGGGAAATTCAGTTGTTATACCAAAGTCCAGAAGGAGATATCTGACCTATGGGAAGTCCCATTCACAGAGCTAATTTGTAACGAGCCTATGGATGTAGAGTTGTTCAGACCTGATGTGGCAATTCCCAAAAGAAAGTAGTTACAGTCATCAAAGCTGAATGAAAAACTGTTTATTTTTTAAAAAAGCAATAGGAATTTCCTATGCACCAGAGATGTTATTAATTACTCTTACTGTAAGGCTCCGAGCAGAACGGTTTGGCCATTAGGTGGATAGCACTGTAGGCAAGTACTACTCTGTGCACGTGACATATTTTAGCAATGTATTAAACATGGTCAGTGACCACAGCATATTTTCCAAAAGCACAGTGGAATAAAGTACATTAGACCAGATGCTGAAGTACAGAACAAAAGAATCTTTATAATAAATGCAATGTAAGTTGCAGAACAGTACAGTATGTTCATACTGTAATTTCTCATAATACTAAGTAAAATTTTGATTTGTCACAGCCTCGGTTTTAAATTTTCTGCAGTGGAAATTCTGTGTTGGCATTTATAAGATGTTCATTAAAGCTATGAGGCTTTGCAGGTGGCATTTACCACTGTTTTCCTCCATAAAGCAGTCTGGAAGATGTTTTCCTCGACTGAGTAAGTCTCAATTTCTGCAAAGTGACAACAATTCCCCTATTCTTGTGCTTCCTGTATATTTATCTTGCCTTTCCTCTGTTGCCACACAAAACCTCAAAATTGTCTCCGAGCCAGTCTGATTTCAAATGAAGCAACTGTTGAAATGTGATCCTTATATAGTGAAGCTCAATCACAATTCTTGCAACACATGCATCTAATGATAGGCATAAACTGCTTTCGGTGGACAGCGAGGACTAAAGCTTTTACATGTAAAATGGGTGCAGTAGGCTTTATTCTACAATCTGTACTCCATTTAGTACTCCTGCTGAGCACAGTAAAACTTCTTGCTTGATTGAAGGTATGCTATTAGTCCCCATACAGGGTTCTGCAAAACCTTGACAGTGTCCCAGGCTAGAATAAATACATAGACTAGCACATGACTTCCTGGACAAAAGGAGCTGCAGTCTGTGGAGGTGAGGAAAAACAAATTTTAGAGAAAATGCATCTCAGTAATGTATTGATATAATTTTGGATTAATATTAGGATGTAAAATATACTCTTGTTTGCAGTAATCTTGTTGACCTCAGGTAGGATATGAGTTGCAGGTAGGTTAAGCCGGTT